CAAACAGCTGATAAAAACATCACAATAATCCACAAGTAATCCACAGCACTCCAGTCCATCAGTTAACATCTGGAGAAGACAAAATAAACAAATCCATCATTAATCCATAATAACGCTTCCTCTAGTGAAAAAGTGCATCTCCTGTTGTCTCTCACATCAACATCGAGCCACATATTTGTGATCCTGGAGCACAAAAGCAGTCTTAAGTCGCTGGGGTATATTTGTAGCAATAGCCAACAATACATTGTATGGGTCAAAATTATAGATTTTTCTTTTATGCCAAAAATCATTAGGATATTAAGTAAAGTTCATGTTCCATGAAGATATTTTGTAAATTTCCTACCGTAAATATATCAAAACTTAATTTTTGATTAGTAATATGCATTGCTAAGAACTTCATTTGGACAACTTTAAAGATGATTTTCTCAATATTTAGATTTTTTTGCACCCTCAGATTCCAGATTTTCAAATAGCTGTATTTCGGCCAAATATTGTCCTATCCTAACAAACCATACATCAATGGAAAGCTTTCAGATGATATATACATCTCAGTTTTGAAAAATTGACACTTAAGACTGATTGTGTGGTCCAGGGTCACATTTGTTTAGAGCTGTTTAAACGCTGCTTGATCTGTGCAGATTTCTCTCCTGATTCACACCAGAACACTTTTTCACTGGAGGAAGAGTTATTATGAATTATGGACTCATATTTTAGTTAAAAACGTCTTAATGCTGAATTTGTTTCAGTTTTTGTCTTCTCCAGATTTTAACTGATGGACTGGAGTGCTGTGGATTATTTGTGGATTATAGTGATGTTTTTATCAGCTGTTTGCACTCTCATTCTGACGGCACCCATTCACTGCAGAGCAAGTGATGCAATGCTACATTTCTCCAAATCTGATGAAGAAACAAACTCTTGGATGGTCAGAGGGTGAGGACATTTTCAGCAACTTTTCATTTTTGAGTGAAGTATTCTTTTAAAGTTCATTCGTAAATGCACTATTGTTCATTGTTAGCTCATGATCATTCATAATGCATGAATGAACTGACATTAAGTAAAACTTTTAAATGCAAACTTAAATGTTAACTTGCTGTATCTAACATTATTGTCAAGTGTTACCGTGACTCGTGAGGTGTTTGGTTATGTAATTCAGGGCAGACTGTATACCGCATATGGCTGCAGGTTATTTGTGTTTTTCAAACAGACCATAAATGCTCATTGTCCTCTGAAGTGTTGAGCTCCTCTCAAGTCTGTTGGGTTGAACAGGTCTGGTCCTGCTCTCTGGCTGTTGAGAGACTCTCAGGAGTAAATACTGTCACTTCTGACATCATTCTATCAGACAGTTCATTGAGTAGACTGTGATACGGCTGTCATCATCACGCTGTATCAAAGCCGTATGCTGCTATTAATGTGTTATTGACTGAAATTGACTCAACCGAAGCTTTGAAATCTCATTCGCTCATTCAAAAATGACACACCAGGTTTGAGATCATAGATTCTCACATAAATGCAGCATCACAAATCAGATTTGAGGGGAAGATTACAGTCACAAAGCATCATAAATATGTTTTTTTTTTTTTTTTTTAAGATTAACTTTTTTTTTTGTTAACTTTTTTTTTTTTTTCAGGGAACAGAAATGTA